GCTTAAGTTAGGCGCCATCTATTCATTTCTTTGGTATGTCCGACGATCAAAAGACCGCTTGGGATCGAGTCTGTTTATAATTTGAAAGGTAATCTTGCCAGTTGTATATACAAAAGGTAAATTGTTTACAAAATGAGTCTTTGTTTATTATCTGATAAATGTATACTTTTTTCGTCAATTGTTCACGATTGCAGATGCCTTTTGTGTAAAATCCAAGTCGGATATATGTAAGCTAATAAATGTTCTCGTTAATCTTATCTTGCCTTTTGGTTCGTTCACGGTTACAAGAAATCATCACATAGAGTCTCTCGAGTCTCCGTAAATATAACAAACAGAAATAAATTACACAAAATAAATTGTAGCTATGCGTCGATTCCGCGCGACACGTCCGAACATGTAAGCTGAACAATAGTGTGGGGGGGAGTGAATAATCAAGAGTTGCGTGGCGCTCAAACAAAAGACGAATCGACGAGATTTGAAAATCGCGTAAGTCGGGGTATTACTGTATATGAATTCTAAATTCTAATACATTGAATATTGAAGTACATTTATACATAAATACATAGTTTAGAAAACTGTTTAAATATCAAAGATGGTTATTTTCAATAAAAATTCATGTAGATATTGGGTGGTATCGATGAAGGATACTAATTAGACTTGATAGGTGTGCAACTTGATTTTCTATTTTTATGGAGATAAAGCCTTTTGCCTTTAGGTGATACAATAGTGTTTCTTGAAAAACCAGTCTGTGTGTGTGATGTTACAAATTCAAACAATTTATGACCTTAATTAGGATCTTTTAAAGATCAGCAGTTAGCGAACAAGAGAATAGAAATTCGTTTTAGATCTGTGGATATGTAGAACAAATTTTAAGTGAGCATTCATCTTTTTTTATATTTTTAAAAACTCAAAAAAGTTTATAATTACATGATGCATAAAATTAAAACAAAATTTTACTGTAATTTTTAATTTTTCAGCAACATTCCAAAATCTTTAAAAGCTGTTTTTGCTTGATTTTTGTTTGCTGAATCTTTGAAAGCTGTTTTGTTCTGAATAAATTCTATGCTAGGAAAAGTGTGGATATTTTGGGTTTGTAGATTCATCTCAGTTCCAGCTTTGTCAATGTGTTTTGCTTGATTTTTTAAAATTTATTCTTTAAATATCAAAATTTGATTTGATGATAAATTATTTTGAAATTAAATTTCATAATGTTCATTTTCTATGGACTTTTGTAATGCAAGGAGTTTGCATTTGACTTTATTTGTTTATATTCTCAATTATATTTCTAATTGCCTTATTTGGTCATTCATTTTCTTATTGAAACTGAGGTATTCTATGATTGATCTTAATGTTTTATTTTTCTCTCTCGCTCTCTTTTTTTTTTTTCTAATCCAAGTTTCACTTCTGTTACTTTACTGTAAAATCATATGCAGATTTTATTTAATTTAAGAAAAGTATCTCTCCTGTTATTCCCCTTTTAAAATAATTCTTTAGCATTTGTTCATTAAGATTTTTACTTTCCTTTAATTTAGATTTTAAAGTACTTTATTGTTTATTTGGTTCATGAATATTGCTTACAATCTTCATATTTAATTTTTAATTCAGTGTTAATAATTAATATTATTTCCATATTTTAACAAAAAATAATATGAACTTCAAGTATGAAAGTCATTATTTTTAGATCACATTGATCTCTCATTATTTTACTTATAAGTTAAATAATTTAAACTTTTGTTTGTTTTCTTTTTATTCAGACATTGAAGACATTAGCACAATATCAATTGGTGAACCATGGCAGCCACCTGATAATTCAGTAAGTGTAAATTATAATAATTAGTATATTAATAGTAATATACTAATTATTACTATTAACTTAAAAATTCTTTTACAGACTATCATATTTTCTTTTAAAGCAATTAAGTTTAAAACATTTTCATAGAATTGAAATTAATTTAAATTGTAATAACAATTGATATGATTACAAATAATTTTATTATTTATTTGACATTAATAATTGTTCTTTATATATGTGTTATAAAAAAACTTTTAGATATTTATATATTCTAAACAGGGTGAAGAAGCTGAAGTAAGGCCAAAGAGCAATATCTTATGCTACACCATAGCTATACTTACAATTCTTTTTATAGGGAGTGGTGTTCTGATGGGTGTGATATTTGTTATTGTCAAATAATATATTTTAAAGAAAAATTTCTGAATGAACAAAACTCCGTCCATGCCTTAAACTTTATTAACACATTTTATTCTAGTGATAATTACATTCCCTGTAAACCTGGATATTATCATTTAGTGACTATTTATAAGCATGGATGTTGTCATATAAAGTTTAAATCACTGTTCTAACGTAAAAAAGAATAGTGAATATATATTCTTATATAAAATGCATGTTAAAATTATAAACGGTATTTGTTTTAAAAATAATTTAATATATATCGTTTTACTACCGGATTTATTAGAAGAAAATTATATCATTACCTCTTTTTAATTATTTGTTTTTAATAATAAAAAATTATACAAATTATCTAAGTTTAATATCATTTACTATTTATTCAAGTTTTACATAGCAACAAATAATTAAACACTGACTTGATTTTAATTTAGACAACAGTAATTAGATATGAAACTATAAAATACTTTGCTTAATATAAATTCTCAAGAAAATTTATATACAAATGAAAAAGTAAATTAATTAAAATTTTCTTTTATATTTATCAGCAAAGAAAATTTAAATCAGCTATTTAAAATTATGAAACATTTAACTAACAGCTTTCAAGTTTATCAAGAAAACAATTTATAAACTTTATGTATAAATTTTCTTTGAATAAAAAAAAATTTAAATAAGTAATTCAATATTTATGGAAGCTATTTATGAATCTACAAAAATTATTTACATAATATTTTTATTATAAAAATCTATTATAAATTAACTACACTTTATCATATTTATATTATAAAAATTTATTTCTCTAAATTTTCTCAATAATATATAAGTATTAATTAATAATAAAAAATTTTTTTAATTAAAGAAGCTATCAATAAATTTTGTATTTTTGAAAACATTAACTTTATTTCACTTAAGATTTTAGTTAAATTATATTTATTTATTTAATCTTTATTGAATGTTTTAAATCATTCACTATATTATTTTATACAGGATGAATGAATCAAAATTTATCCAGTATATCAGATAAATTTATCTAAGTGGTTCCTATATCGTTCAGAATGATTAAAATATACAAAATAAATTTAGTATGATTTTATAAATATTAATTTTTATTGATTTTTATAAGATATAACTTATAAATTTTTTAAAATACAACATTTATGATAGTTTCCTAATAATTCTGGATAATAAAGAACTGCTGCAAACTAGTTTTTAGGATTCTTAAAACTGTTTTGCATATATTATATTATTAACTTATTTATTTATAAAATATAGAAACTATTTTAGAATAATATAATATAAATCATTAATATTGGTCAGAAAACTTAATTAAATTTTCAAAACAGTAAGAAAACTTAAATATTCCTAATAGATTATTATAATATGCTAAAGTTTAATGTTTACAGATTAGTAACTATTTGAAAGGAAAAGTAATATTTAAATGTAAAAATTATTAAATTATTTTTAAACAATTAAATTTTACATTATTATAATCTCAGATTCATATCGTGTAAGAAACTTTTTTAAAATATTAGTTATAATGTAGAATGTCCCATTGGAAATAAACAAAACTCAATTAGTTCATTATTTCAATTAATACAATTAACATTTAATTGTAAAGCAAATTAACAAATTTGAATGTTAATTGTAAGTTTATATTAATAGTTTAATGTAGATTGATTCAGAGCTGTATATATCAAACAGTTACAGATGTTTAATAAAAAAAAATGAAGGATTACAAAACAAATATTTTCAAAAAATAATTCATAGGGTCATTCATAATCATGAAAATAAAGTCTGTCATATTAATGTATTTAAAATAATTAAATGTAAACATTGCCAATCATTTTAATATTTTTGAAATTGTAAATGCAGTAATAATAATCATATCAATGAACAATAAAAATTTTTTACAGTTGACAGATGGACAGTATTTAGTCTAAATTACTATAGTATTACTTAGATTTATAGTTAAATTCACTAGTATCTAAAACTTCTAACAGTATTTTGTTATTGATTTTATAGTATAATTGACAACCATTCATTAGAATCAATTGATTGCAGTGTTCAAATTCAAAATCAGCATTTATAATCTAGTCTTGGTTGTGTGTAAGCTGATACCACATAAAACAGCTTCACTCCAAGTAGTCTAATAGATGATTGCCTAGATACTTACGCAAAAATTTACAATTAAAAACACTAAAATGTGTTTTAAATGTTTTACTTGTGTTTTTACAATAATGAATAACATTTTAGTCTAGTGTTTCTGAATATACAGTGCAAAATTTTATTATACTGTTTAGAATACACTACTTGAAAAAATACATTCAAACCAAGATATTTATCACAATGAATATCATTCAGTAGTTCTATGTTTAGAATGTCGGAAGTCAGATAAGTGCAGTTTGCTGACTTAAGAATCAGATTCAGTTACACTAAGAATGAATTAACCTAATCATTTGCCAGCCCAAATGTACAAGTTTGCATAAATCAATTCTATATAAAACACGACCCTACTGTATATCTAACTATCTTCAGTTTGCAAGCCAAAGGAGATTAACAATATGATATTGAAATTCTATTTAGTAATAATATCTATTACTACGATTATGAGGGGCTTGGTAGAAAATAGGCATAATTCCTCATTTGGAAATTTTCAAGAAAAAGGAGGATTTGTATTTCAATTTTCCAGCACTTTAATATGCATCATTTTATTAATGTGTATGTTCAATTCATTGGGCATGCAACTGAACCATGAAAGTGTCTTAGAAGATGGATCAATGATACACAAATCCAAATTTGTTAATAACTCATTTTTTGTAGTTTTGTAGGCTATGCTATTTTTCCATGACGCCTCGCAATTGTTTATGAATTTGAACACGTATATCAATCATTATGATCAATTAAATATAAACACTTAAAAGATTATTAATATATTAGATAAAATCTATATGATGATATGATAGAATAAACTAAAACTGATACACAAAACAAAAATATTTAAATTTTATTCTTATGGTTATTTATTTTATGTAAAGAAAAGCATTGTATCAATACTTTCAATTATTTTAATAACAGCTTTCATTGTGTTCAATTGAACATTGGGACATTCTATGTTTAAGTATGTATAAGAATTATTATTATTATTGTTGAAAAATTAATTATTTAATATATATAATATATAATATGAAATGTGCAATCATATTTATAAAAATACAGATACTGTATAAACATTAATTTAAGTATATTAGAAATATGGAGTGATTTTTATACATCAATAATAGAAATTTAACATGAGCCTTTCAATTATAGATGAGATATTTATATCTCATGTTGAACACTATGCAAAATATCTAATTATTATTATTATTATTGTTATTAATTTTCTCTTTTTTTTGTTTTTCATAAAATATACATTATATATCTTTTTAATATCTTGATATCTTTAGATGGAATTATTTCCCACTCATATAGTCCCAAATGCATTTTTAATCATACATATTTCTCTGTAGATGCTATATTACAGTTGCAAACTTTTCATTAATGAAAATTAATTCAATCTTTTAGGGATTCATATAAAGTTTATTTTAAAATAAATTTCAAATAACATTTACATAAAATAAAATCAGATACTTGCTTTTTAGTTATGGTTACTTTTTAAGAAAGTAATCATAATTAAAAAGCAAGTATCTGATTAAGTTAAGAAGCAAGTATTTGATCTTCATCTATCGATAAAAAGCTATATATATTTACTTTTAATATCAAAACAATTATTTCATTTTCTTTTAAGTTGCTTGTATATTTTAAATATTAAAATGTGATGATGATATAGTAAAAAAAAAAGTTAATACTGTAGTTCATTGTTAAAAATTTTTTTTGTTTTCAATAGAAGGTTAATTTTAACTTGGTGATAGGTTAAAATTCGTCTCAAAATATTGCAAAGAATTTTATTCTGTTTAATTCACTTATCTGTTTTTATTAGTCATATATTATGAGATTTAACATTTTAACCCAATGGCTGGATGGCCAAGTGGTTAGAGTGGCTGCCTACCATTCTGGGAACCCAGGATTGAATACAGACAGGTGGAAAAAAACTCCCATGAATTTTTTGGGGTGATCTGTCCAGCTAAGTTGGACCCTACCCTCTGGCTGTGCCATTGTGGGCCTGGCCAAACCCATAACAGGCTTTCTAAGAAAGGCTCTAATAGTGCCCACAGGATGGAAAGAGTTTTTTAAGAAATTTAGAAAAAATCAGTTATGTAATGAATGAAAATTTGTATATATCTATAGAGTATATAGAGTATGTATATTTATTTATATGACATGTATAAAAAGTTATTTACATTAATAAATGATTAGTTTTCCTATAGGATTCATTATTGGGATACATTAAATGTGAAGCATAAGAACAGAGTATTAAAGGCATTATGTTGGCAGATAATGTTTTTTTGCCATGAAAATTATAATACGATAAGCATAATGAAGGGATCCAAACTTGTAGAAAAAACAAATTAGGGCTGTTGATCGTGATTAATCTTATGATTAAAAGAATTAATTTTGAGTTCAAATCTTAAATTTCAAATTACAGATAATCTGATATATAATGAAAACTATGCACTAAAAACTATAAACTTTGATGTATTGTATTTTAAATACTGTAATTGTTGAAATTAAAACCTTCATATACAGTATAAAATAATAAAGAAAATTAAAAAATTAATATTATTAGGGAATTTAACACTGCAATATTTATAGATATTCCTTTTTCTTTATTCAGTCAGTAGGACAGTTAGTTGAATCGAATTAGTGGCACTGAACAAAACAAAGAACAATTTTTTTTTTAATAAAATAAATTTCATATATTAAATTTTAATTTCAAAAGTTTTCAATTGCATTATGTTGATAAAAAAGCCAAAAATAAGTTAAAATAAACAAGAATATTTAGGACTACTTTTTATTAATTCATTTTGAATTTTATGGACTGATATTATAATTGTGTTATAATGTATACATTATAATAATAGACAGTAGCCTTCACATTATAACTTTATAGCGTGAAGGCTACATTTAAATTTCTTAATATTTACATTCATGGTTTAATAATGATAAAATCAGTTGATCGTATTAGATCATAGATTCAAAAGGAACCTTTGATGAATTGAATACTTATTCTTGTATACTGTATTAAAAAATTTTTTGCTATATTGTTTCTTAGAAGCTATTTTTATAAATACTTTATAATTATATTAATAGAAGTAAACTTTACTGTATAGAAATTTTCATATAATTTTTTTTCTCATTAAAACAAATATAGAAACTTTATTTAGCTGCTTTAATGGCGTCTTCGATTGCGTTAATTTTATGCAGAAATATAACACGGCCATTTATTAATAAATCCGTCTAAAGAATAGTCAAGAATTTTAAAAAGGTCTTTACGTATATTTTACTATAATAGTTTTTAGTTTCTAACAGTAATAATTACATTTATAGCACATAAATATATAATTTCAATTCTAAATTGATATATATCAATAATAATTATGCAAAATTGTGTGTGTACATGTGTGTAAATATAAGGTGTGAGTGTGTATGTTTGTAAAATATATAAATAAAAACATATTTATTATTGTAAAATATTTAATTCATTAATTTTATGTTTTATGTTAATTACAAAAACAATTAAGATTTAAAATATTTATGGAAGAATGATGATATATATTATAATATTTTATAATGTAAATTGTATTTATTAAAAACTCAAATGATAGTTTTTAAAGAAATTGACGAAAAGTTTTTATTTGCTAAGTAAATATCAAAGTCAGATAACACTATCCCAATAAAAAGAATTGACTAAGGGTAAGTTGGATATACTATGGCATTAAATTTGTTAAAATCTTACGTTAGAAGAAAGATAAAGAATGGCATCTATATTATCTAAGTGCCTATAATGCATAAATGTTACCTCAACAGGGGACCATAGCAATAAATCAACTGAATTACGATTTGTATATTCACTAGAAGTGGATAATGTAACATATCTGGATAGTTCACATTACAAAATTTGTTTTAAAATAAAAATTAAAAAAAAAAAAAAGAAAAAAGAAACAATTAGTAATAGCTTACGTATGTTAAATCTATATTTTATTATTATATTGGAAAGAATGAAAGTAGTTGTTAGTTTGTAAAATTTTCTATAGAATAATAAAAATGTTTTTTTAATATAATTGTTCAGAAATAGATAAAATTTAAATGAACTTCTTTTTAATGATTGTATAATTGTAAATTTTGTAGTATAAAAAATAATTTGTCGAAATTCTATATGTGCCTATTATTTATAATAATGCAAAATTAGTACAGGTAGTGGACTAAAAAAAATTCAATACATTTTTATTCGTTAAGATATTGAAACTCAGGAATTTGATAATCAATAAAATATGAAATAATTTTTTTAATGGATTATACCATTATTATATCAATGTGAGCTGAAGAGAATCTTACAATTATACATAATATAATTTGTAAGATTATATAATATTACAATAAGTTGTAATTAAATTGGTAAGATGCATAACTATTATTAATCTAACCGCATCAAATAAGCTTTGACAATCAGATACTATTTCAAAGTTTCAGTTTTTTAACAATAATTTTTATACTTGACTGTGGAACCTTTATATGCATGTCACTTATGATTTTCTAATTAATTTTATTATAGATTAGCTTAGATTTTAAACTTTTTGTTTAAGAAATATTTCATTATCTTCTTCAAGATGATAAAAATTATTTTCAAGTCATTTCATATGATTAATCTCCTAGATTCTGTATACATAATAGAACCTTTATTTATGGAATATATATTATTATATTAGTCCATTATGGAAATAAAAATTTGGGCCTTCATATTTGTACAGTTTGCATACATTGCTTATGTGGCTAAAAATGTCAAAATAATTCTGTACTTTTGGTCCATTACCTGTGTATTTTAAATATTATATAGCAATTATGTGTAGAAAGTTAATTTTCATTTATAAGAATTACAATATTATTGCATTGTTTTTTACTTGACAATATGTAAATACATTTGTTTAGAATGGGACCATGAATACAAATAATAAATTTATCTTGCCTTGTAAGAACGATCTTCAACAAATTAATGTAGAGCAGTCTTCCGATCTGCATTGTTTCTAGTCAGTGTGGAATTATCTGTAAACTTTTTGCACTATAATATGTAAAACAAAATGAAAATAATTATATAATAATTCATATTGTTAATAAATATCATCAATTTTATTTCAATAAAATTGTTTAAAATTTTAGTTTTAATTCACACTGTAATTAGGATTAATAACTTACCATCATTTTGTAATACAGATATATTATTTTTGGTGTACAATAAACACAGTTTTTCCAATTTTATTCTAAAATTATGTATTTTGATTTAAGAGTTCTTTTAATAGCAATATTTGTATGATTACAAAACAATTTTTGAGTAATTTATGGAATTAAATTGATGATAAGTAAATAATTTGTTTTATTAGTTAAAAATTTCCTTTTGTTTTAATTTTTACATCTTGCTATTATAATGAAATATCAAAATTTAAATATTTATTACCTCAAAAGTATATTAATTTAATAGACTGGCTTCCATATGAAACTTTGAAATGAATGAGGAGAAGCAGTATACTTCAAATTAAATATGAAATCCTTCAAAATAAAATCTATTGCAAAGTCATTCCTAAAAAATATATTTTTATAAAATTTTTCGGATTAAATAAAAGCAATATTAAAGTATCTAACCTGTTAATTATTACTAAAACAGTTCCGTTGTCAGGCCTTTGGAATGCAACGATATTAAATTTGTCTATATTCAAACCTTTCAGATTTGAACCAATTCTTATGGATCCCGGAGGAAGTAGTTTACTAAAATAATCACTTGTTAGCATTAGTGACATATAAATAAGTAATATACTACCAAAAATATATTAAGATTACCTGAAATGGGCCAATGCGTAATACGTTGGTTGTCTGTAAAATTCTTTAGCCGTGACATTTACAATTATAGGAGAATCAACAAAATTTTTAACCCAGTTAGGACCACCTTCTGGATTAAGTGCCAGATTCCAATCAACCCATCCAGAAGTCCAGTGGTTTAAATCCTACAATTATTTTTATTCACTTAGTTTTTAAATGTTTTTAAAAAATTACTTCAATTATAATAATGATTACTTGGATTATGTCATAAGCATAAGATTCTCCTCTTTCCCAGCTTCCTAATTTAACTTTTTGTTTATCCCAGTGTGGAGACTCTATACAAGCTTCTGTTGAAAGCATAAATTTATTTGGGAATTTTTTGTGAGTAATGTCTAATAATTCTGGAGGAGCAACAACATTGTGGTACCAGTGAAAAGCAATTCCTGCTACAAACTGAGAAGTTACAGTTTCATTTAACACCTAAAATAAATTTAATAGCTAGATTTATTAATATTTCTAAAACTTTCAAATTTAAAAGATTTAAAATGATTATCTGTTTTGTTTTGAACATTTTACCACTTCAGCCCATGTTGGTAATAGATCTCTCTGATCATCCATTATCATTAATTTCAATTTATCGATTCCGTAACCGTTACGTTTTAGAGTCGGGCCCAAATTATAACGAATAAAATCTCGTTGAGTTTGTGCTGTAAATCCCATTGCCTGGAATGAATAGTTAGGTATGAATCCTTCCATTGGTTCATTTTCGGCCGTCACACCCCAAAATGTCACATTGAGCTCTTCATAAGCTTGAAGAAATCTACAAAAAGTATAAAATTATCTCATAATACTTCTGGATATTTCTTGCTTATTTGAAACTGGATGCAATCATAAGATAGACTTGCCTTACAAAATAGTCTGCCCACGTCTGATAATACTCTCCTCCAGGTTTTCCTTTAAGAACACCAGGACCAGCCATTTTCCCTGAATTTTTCATCCATCCAGGTGCACTCCAAGGACTGGCAAAGAGTTTTATTGATTTCGATTGCAGTTCTTCGGCTCGAAGAATAAGAGGAATCTAATCGAATAAGACTTTATATTCATCAGAAACTTTTATAATTAAAAATGCAAAGTTTTCTCCAACTGTGACAGTCACGTTCTATTTCTCAAAAACTATTTAACACCTAAATCAATAGGTTAAATTACACACAGGATTTACCTTTAATTCTAAATCTTCTTTAGTTAAATTGAAATGTGTTAAGTTGAAATCTCCAGGAACATCATCGTACGAATAGACACGGGTGGAAAAGTCGCAACTGGCCATAGGAACTCTTCCAATAGTGTAGTCCAAACCTGTATTAATTAACTTTGCTTAATATTAAGCATTCATTGTAATATTAATTTCTAAAAACTCAATTCTCACCATCTGAAGAGTAGTAACCACGTAATAATTGATCTTGTAATTTGGCTGGTAAACTGAGAATATTAATGCCAGATGCATCTGTGAAAGCACCACCAAATCCTAAAATCTCTTGATATCTTTTAGTTCTATCAATTGTAATTTCAACACTTTCATTTCCTGAAATAAATAGTAATAATTCTTTAAAACTGTACATTAAACTATTTTATTTATATTAATCTTTGTAATTATAAATGAAATTATTTTCAAATTCAAAATTAAATGTCATGCAAAAAACACACATTTTAAAATTCATCAGAAAGTTGTTACCAATAAAATAAGAAGAAAAATTTAAATCTTTGGCATAGAATCTCATTCCATGTTTATTGCTTTCATATACTCTGACCATTCCAGGAGTAGGCAAGACTATTTTACCCAGCTGGTCACAAAATGTAACATTGCATACACACACAACGCTTCCAAACCCATAATTTCTCGGCTTACAGATTTCTCCGGTGACTACGATAAGTAAAATTTAGTAATTAATTGAAGAGATATAAGTATTTTTAAGTTTAAAACTAATTTAACTTACCAAAGGGTAACATTAACATTAAACAAGCAAGCTGTAAATGTACCATTTTGAGTGTCCAATAAATCCAGGATCAAGAAGAAATAATATTTACGTTGACTTGATCTAACACGGTCACACTATAGTCTAAAGTTTTTGCTACATTTCAACAGTAATCTAGTTACTGATATTTATTAACAAATGGACTTTCATCTGTTTTGATTAGAACAAATTAAAATGTGTGTAAATTAATAAATTGAATTAGAGATTATTAAGTATATTTGTTTTAAAAATATAATTTAGTAAGTATTATATATGAAAACTTTAAATAATGTCAACTTGGTATATTGATTTTGACAGTATGGAGGGACCCAGTGCTAGTTTCGAGTTGAGTAGCAACACGAATGTGTGTGTGGAATGTCATGTGTTATGAAATCTTTCAGTGAATGCTTTCACTAAATAGGTTGATACCACTTAATATTCTCGACATGTTCGTGTTGCTGCTCACATAACATACATTCGAGACATCTCCTGAGAAGACGTAAATTACACAACTAATTTTTAGCTTTCTAAGAATTGTGTCGTCATTTTAGAAAGCTCCGATTGGTGTTTTTATGTAAACACTTCGATTTCCGGCTTCATCAAACGACATTTCCTACTTACTTTCGTTACATTGACGACTGTAAACCAGAAAAGACATCTGATTTTCTTATCGAGGATAAAATCTGCTGATAAAAAAAACATAGAAATTATTCTGAGATGGATCTTTGTACACGCTTTTTATATTTAATAATAATAGCCATTCCTTTCGGTAAGTCCAATTTCTGTATTTAATTTTACATATGTATATGTAACTATTATATAAAGCAATTAATTCTAAAAAGGGCGGTCAGAAACTTGGTATGGGGGGAATGGAGTATTGCCGTGTTGAGGCCTTTGGCGACTACGCCAAAGGCCTCAACGCAGAATCGGAATATTCTTAAAGTACTGTACATCCACCATTATTAATTTTTTCAGCGTACTCCCGGTTGGGAATCGCTAATATAGAAAATACAGTAATGTTATCGGGATGACGAAAGGCCCTGATGGCATTACTATATTATATACATTAAGGTAGCAGCCTATCACTTTGGGACATCCAGTATCGAATTCGGATATGTTGAAAAAAAACAGGAATTTTTCGGGGTGGTGCGTAAGTTCCCTCTCTCACCAGCCAGCTGTCTCATTGTGGGCCTGATCGAACCCATAACGAACTTGCTGAAAAGGCCCTCTTAGTACCCACAGGGCGGAAAGAGTTTAAAAAGAAAAATCATAAATATTCCAAATTAATATAATATAATAATGATACGTTAAGTGTTGTAGATGTTATTAATATTTATATCAATTGTTTTGTAGCAATATCGGATTAACAATATGCGTATTTTATTACAGTTTTAGGAGAAAAGTGCCAATCAAAGAATTATGGATACGGAAGTGTCGTATGCGTATGTAATGTTACATTTTGTGATCAACTTGGCGAAATAGTCTTGCCTACTCGGGGAGTGTTTAGAATATATGAAAGCAACAAATACGGTATGAGATTCTTTAAGAAAGACGTAAATTTTTCTGCCAATTTTATCGGTAAGATATAAAAAATATCGTTATTCGTAAGATAATATTCTATGGATGCGTGCCACAAGGTCGTATGTCTAATTTCGTATGATTTTACAGAAAAGCCAGAAGAAAGTTGAGGACACTTTTTCAATGGCAATTTCTCTTCTTAGGAGGTTTTCATTGAAAATCTTTGTTGTTTCTGTAATTTCACCCCTTTGTCAATTAGAAGAAAAGTGACACACGATCTCATAGCACGGATCCGACGATATGAAAGTTTAAAATATAATTTTGAATTTACGATTTAAAATTTTATAATAATATCTTATGCAATAAACATGTAAAAATATAATGTAAAATTTGAAAATTCGGTTATCAATGATATTTAAAAAATTTTATAAATAAAATAGCTGCTATAAAATTATAATAACAACTGTTTCAGGAAATGAAAGTGTTGAAATTACAATTGATAGAACTAAAAGATATCAAGAGATTTTAGGATTTGGTGGTGCTTTCACAGATGCATCTGGCATTAATATTCTCAGTTTACCAGCCAAATTACAAGATCAATTACTACGTGGTTACTACTCTTCAGATGGTGAGAATTGAGTTTTTAGAAATTAATATTACAATGAATGCTTAATATTAAGCAAAGTTAATTAATACAGGTTTGGACTACACTATTGGAAGAGTTCCTATGGCCAGTTGCGACTTTTCCACCCGTGTCTATTCGTACGATGATGTTCCTGGAGATTTCAACTTAACACATTTCAATTTAACTAAAGAAGATTTAGAATTAAAGGTAAATCCTGTGTGTAATTTAACCTATTGATTTAGGTGTTAAATAGTTTTTGAGAAATAGAACGTGACTGTCACAGTTGGAGAAAACTTTGCATTTTTAATTATAAAAGTTTCTGATGAATATAAAGTCTTATTCGATTAGATTCCTCTTATTCTTCGAGCCGAAGAACTGCAATCGAAATCAATAAAACTCTTTGCCAGTCCTTGGAGTGCACCTGGATGGATGAAAAATTCAGGGAAAATGGCTGGTCCTGGTGTTCTTAAAGGAAAACCTGGAGGAGAGTATTATCAGACGTGGGCAGACTATTTTGTAAGGCAAGTCTATCTTATGATTGCATCCAGTTTCAAATAAACAAGAAGTAGTATGAGGTAATTTTATACTTTTTGTAGATTTCTTCAAGCTTATGAAGAGCTCAATGTGACATTTTGGGGTGTGACGGCCGAAAATGAACCAATGGAAGGATTCATACCTAACTATTCATTCCAGGCAATGGGATTTACAGCACAAACTCAACGAGATTTTATTCGTTATAATTTGGGCCCGACTCTAAAACGTAACGGTTACGGAATCGATAAATTGAAATTAATGATCTTGGATGATCAAAGATATCTTTTACCAAAGTGGGCCGAAGTGGTAATATCATTTTCAATATAGGATCGTATATAAATATAATGTTACTATTAATTTATTACTAATTAACTCATATTAATTTATCATTAGCATTGCCTAAATTTATGTAAAAACATAATACATACGCACGATATACGTGTTTTTCAGGTTTTAAATGAAACTGAAATCTCTCAGTATGTAGCCGGAATTGCATTTCATTGGTATGCCAATGCTATTTCTCCTCCTGAAATACTAGACATTACTCGAAAGAAATTTCCTAATAAATTTATATTGTCGACGGAAGCTTGCGCTGGATCTTTTCCTTGGGATAAACCCAAAGTTAAATTGGGAAGTTGGGAAAGAGGAGAATCTTACGCCCATGATATAATACAGGTACAATACAGTAGTATCAATTATAAATTGTATAGAAGAAAAAATTTAAGCTTGAACACAGATTTTGCCATTTTCTTATACGGTTATCAAGCAACAAGGATTGCAACAAGAAGTGTTTTCTGACAATATGTGGGTTTGATTGGATTTGACGGGATACGTTAATGCCAAAGGGAAGTTCCTCCAAAGAGGACTTTCTATATGCCCCTATTTAGGTGTTCAATACATGTATATTATTATAAGAAACGCTATATTATTTTCATTTCTATGTTCACAATAGATCTATGTGATAATCTATTAAGCATTATCGATATACCGAAATAATAGATGTTTTTACGTGCATATACAGGATTTGAACCACTGGACCTCTGGATGGGTTGATTGGAATCTGGCACTTAATCCAGAAGGTGGGCCCAACTGGGTTAAGAATTTTGTCGATTCTCCTATAATTGTAAATGTCACGGCTAAAGAATTTTACAGACAACCAACGTATTACGCACTGGCCCATTTCAGGTAATCTTAATATATTTTTGGTAGTATATTAATTATTTATATGTCACTAATGCTAACAAGTGATTATTTTAGTAAACTACTTCCTCCGGGATCCGTAAGAATTGATTCAAATCTGAAAGGTTTGAATGTAGACAAATTTAATATCGTTGCATTCGAAAGGCCTGACAATGGAACTGTTTTAGTAATAATTAACAGGTTAGATGTAGTTTAAAAATGGTTAAAAATTCAAAATATATTAATTTAAAAAAATGTATTTGTTTTTTTTTCAGTAATGATTTTCCGGTAGATTTTATTCTTCACGATTCCGGACGCAGTTTAAACTATGCCTCTTCGCCTCGTTCGTTTCAGAGTATTCTTTGGTAGTCGATTTTGAAATAATACAGTTTCGCTAATAAAACATATATTTTACTACAATATATTTTACAAATTCGTTCAGAACTTCTTATTTTAAAATTAAAATTTACATTAAATAAAGTTNTATTAATTTATTACTAATTAACTCATATTAATTTATCATTAGCATTGCCTAAATTTATGTAAAAACATAATACATACGCACGATATACGTGTTTTTCAGGTTTTAAATGAAACTGAAATCTCTCAGTATGTAGCCGGAATTGCATTTCATTGGTATGCCAATGCTATTTCTCCTCCTGAAATACTAGACATTACTCGAAAGAAATTTCCTAATAAATTTATATTGTCGACGGAAGCTTGCGCTGGATCTTTTCCTTGGGATAAACCCAAAGTTAAATTGGGAAGTTGGGAAAGAGGAGAATCTTACGCCCATGATATAATACAGGTACAATACAGTAGTATCAATTATAAATTGTATAGAAGAAAAAATTTAAGCTTGAACACAGATTTTGCCATTTTCTTATACGGTTATCAAGCAACAAGGATTGCAACAAGAAGTGTTTTCTGACAATATGTGGGTTTGATTGGATTTGACGGGATACGTTAATGCCAAAGGGAAGTTCCTCCAAAGAGGACTTTCTATATGCCCCTATTTAGGTGTTCAATACATGTATATTATTATAAGAAACGCTATATTATTTTCATTTCTATGTTCACAATAGATCTATGTGATAATCTATTAAGCATTATCGATATACCGAAATAATAGATGTTTTTACGTGCATATACAGGATTTGAACCACTGGACCTCTGGATGGGTTGATTGGAATCTGGCACTTAATCCAGAAGGTGGGCCCAACTGGGTTAAGAATTTTGTCGATTCTCCTATAATTGTAAATGTCACGGCTAAAGAATTTTACAGACAACCAACGTATTACGCACTGGCCCATTTCAGGTAATCTTAATATATTTTTGGTAATATATTAATTATTTATATGTCACTAATGCTAACAAGTGATTATTTTAGTAAACTACTTCCTCCGGGATCCGTAAGAATTGATTCAAATCTGAAAGGTTTGAATGTAGACAAATTTAATATCGTTGCATTCGAAAGGCCTGACAATGGAACTGTTTTAGTAATAATTAACAGGTTAGATGTAGTTTAAAAATGGTTAAAAATTCAAAATATATTAATTTAAAAAAATGTATTTGTTTTTTTTTTCAGTAATGATTTTCCGGTAGATTTTATTCTTCACGATTCCGGACGCAGTTTAAACTATGCCTCTTCGCCTCGTTCGTTTCAGAGTATTCTTTGGTAGTCGATTTTGAAATAATACAGTTTCGCTAATAAAACATATATTTTACTACAATATATTTTACAAATTCGTTCAGAACTTCTTATTTTAAAATTAAAATTTACATTAAATAAAGTTTGTATATTGAATACAAATTATTTATTTACTTTTAACCTTTCCAATTAAAGAAGATTTTTTTCTTCCATGTTCACGAATTGGCATGCTCCATCAACTTGTGTCTCATTGTTCGATCGCTTTGGCCGATCGAACAAGGATTGATCGATTGTTCGATCGTTTATTTGGCCGGATACGAGGAAGGCAGATCGGAATTAAACTTATGAAATTTTTTCAATCGACCCAGTGACGTGTCAATTACCCCCCTTTTTTTTTGCCCACAGCACTGGGCAAAAAGAACGATTACATAGGCCCTCAAACCAATCTCTTATAAGAAAATATTCTCCACAAAAAATGCCAATAATGTACAGTACACGAGACCCCTAATTCAAATTTAGTTATAAATCTACAGATAAGATAATATATGTGAATAATAAACGTTACAAGAAGACGTTTTATGGTTGTTTCCACCCATCGAAGACCCACGCTTTTCACCCCTATATCAAAGAGGGCCGTATATGATTGGATTGATGGAATAACACGTGAGCAATCCGCTAAGAAGGGAGGACTTTTTAAGGGAAATTGGCCCTATTTAAACGTTATATATGTGAGAAAACTCGAAAACTTATTATAGTTCGCTGGTCGAGGGCAAAACTCCAGATCAGTCTTCGGTGGTTTATTCACTCGGATACTGACAAGTTTCTTTTCCCTCCGTGTCATTTACCCTTTTGTTTTAATCTAAGATAAAAATAATAAGAAAAATAAATCGGATATAAACGTGGTAACAATCTGTAATATACTTCTACTTATAGCTGTATTTAGTTATTTAGATAAAGATTTATCAAGCGATTATACATTTTCAGCTTTTTGAATCTTGAGTGAAATCGTTTGAGAGCGATGTACCGAATCATTTTATTCGCTTACATTTTTTGGATCTATTTTGGTAAGTAAAAGAATTTTTCGAAATATCTATGGAGCCTAAACAAATTGTTTATAAGTTATTTATTATAAACTTGTGTGCAAATTTCTGATTTGCCTTAATTCGATTTTAGTTTATAAGGGGGGAGGGCGCTGACTTTCGTGAATTATTTGTTCTCTTGTGATTTAACTCATTATTGTTATTTTCTTGAAAAATGACAGAATTCTCATCTCAGAAAAGGAAAACTTTTTCTCCACGAAACGTAAAGAAACGAATTGGAAGTGAGGAAAATGTTACAGGTGAGAGTGAACGGTAGAATTGATTCTTTGTTATATAAGTGCCGAAAAAGAGATTATCGTTCGGGAAGGAATTAAACTTTTGTTGAAACTACAAGCCTCTTCAAATAATAAATTACAAGTTACTTTTAGAACGTTTAAATAGAATACAGGCATGGTATGAAAACATAGACACTGCTTTGATAGATCTTGACCTCGAAATTGGTAAAGAGAAAAGTAACATTATGTGGGGGCTCATCATTCCCCCAAATTTTGGTTGTTATCAGATACCTATATATATATATATATATATATATATACGTAAATTATTATGAACATTATCTATAATTTTAATTTTAATCTTTTAGATAATAATGTATTCTCTTTAAGTTAAAATTTAATTGTATTTTAAACTATATATTATGTTTTTTCGTTTTGTCTGGTTGTGCAACGAACAATTGTTAATTAACTACCAGACCCCTTTTTCAATGGTGTTAAATGACAGATGTTACTCTATCCGTGCATATAATTCTTAATAGACGAGAGAAGGACTGTTGGCCCCACCAGTGGGCGAGTGGTCTCCGTTGCCGCTCATAGCGGCGACCCAGACCCTAAACACTGGGAAGTTCGGTCGTGGGTTCGCGCCGCGATCGGACAGGCTGGCTGCTTGGAGTTTTCCGGGTTTTCTCCTTGCCAATAACGACTGAATAGGAGGCCAGTTCCCCATAAAAGTCCTCCCGGAAGGCATTATTTCCCGCGCGCGCGGATACGGCTGGCTCTTCGGTCGCATAGCGATCATAACCATATGTCTATCGGAGAAAGAGCCTATATGAGCTAAAATCTCCATATCAACATCTGAGAAGAAGAAGAAGAAAAAGGACTATTGGATGACCAATCACGCTTATCGCAAATTACTTCAACTTCCTCCGGAACAAAATCATGATTATACAGAACGAAGAATAAAATAAAAGGGAATGATGAAAATCAGAGACTTAGTGAGGGACTGAGTGAAAGAGAAAGAAGATAAAAAGGTGAGAAGAAAGGAAGAGAAAGTGAAAGAGCAAGAGAAAGCAGTGTTAAAGTCCAGATACGTAGACTGTCATGGCGGATCATGTCTGATTCCAGCAAACAGTGGGGACGCACGTTCTAACCCAGAGGTGGCCAACCTTTTGCATACCATGCGCCAATTTTTTGATAGACGAGTTCAGATGCGCAGTGGCGTACCGTGAGTGTTAGCAGCCCGGGGCGGAGAAAAATTTCGGCCACCCCTTATTTAGGTATTTCACTTTATAAGACGAAAATTCAGATTTGCCACAGAACAAGCAATGAAAAATGCGGTTGTAGTGTAGCTACCCGTATAAAATAGTTCTATATGACATCAGTGGTGTACATGAACACGAATGCATCGTGTAACGTACAAGCAAAAAAAAAAAGGTCAACAGGTCGATTGCACCGAATTGTGTAAGAAATACACTTGCGAAGACACACTGTAAAAAATTAATTTCCTATGTAGTCTTCATAATTGCAATGAAGCCAAATCTGGCAATGTTGCTCGGAACCGACTGAAGCGCCACTTGTAGTCGTCCAATGCGCCAAGTTTTGGCCACCCCTGTTCTAACCTAACCTAACCTATTCTAATAATTTGATTGGTAATAATTATGGTAATTTATTAGAATAGGTTACGTTAGGTTAGAACGTGCGTCCCCACTGTTTCCTTTCTTTTGTTTGCTGGAATCAGACATGAGTCGCCATGACAGTCTACGTATCTGGATTTTAACCGAAAGCAGAAAGAAGAGAAGGAAAAGAAGAAAATCAACGCAACATCTAGAGGAGAAGACAACTCTTTTCCTGGTTTATTGTGATTCGCGCAGTTCGGATACCCCCACCCCCGCTAGATACCCTCGTTTTACAAATAGAAATAGGCTAACTCTCTAAAACATATTTTGTACTTATTAATGCTATTAATCTAAACTAAGTTCAAAAGTCAAGTTTCGTTTTTCCATAATAAATTTTTTTCTTTTATTCGTAAATTAGTTTACTTGACTTTGCATTTATCCTCCTGAGAAGCTCATTCCTGGACTTTCGGAGGGACTCCTACTCTCGCACCTTAACTTTTTAAAGAATATAGCTTTTAATGATAAACGAGATAATGAAATTAAGGAGAATTATAGCCAATATAATGTTTTATACTCGGACAATGACGATAATGCGAAACATGTTTTCTATAACATAGAAGGTTTAAATAATTGCCTGGGAGAAGCCCATGCTACTGGGGTAACGTATGCACGTATTGTCCGAATTTAAAAAAAAAAATCCCACGTTAGATTTGGATAATTTTGCTGTCAAAATGCTCAGTGGAAACCTGGCACGTGCATAAACTACTTTTTGGAAAATATAATTAACTACGAGAAAAGGTATATTCAAAAAACGAAAGTGTCGACTTTCGCCTCTTTGACGCTTAATAACAAAACAGTATTTTGACATTTTTGGATGCTGTTTATCATCCGCACTAGATGGCATCACGTTACCTAGCTCTTCAATTTTGGCAAACAACTAACTGCTTTAGGCGTAAAAGATTATCGAGTCATAGTTAAAAAGTAATACTTTTTAAAGGAATTTTTATACTGCTAAATTTTCTAAAGGTCATTTTGTATTTATTAATGAAGATCTATTGTCGATGGGCATACATAAAGTGCTTCCAATAAGTGAGGAATGTTTCTCAGACTTTACAAAAGAAGAAAGGAAAGATTTATGCTATTTTTGCAGACTTTTTATCTGTTTTTGACACTGTTAATCGTAGTTTTATGGACTCTACTAGAAATAATTGGTATACAAATAAACAGTTTCTTGGTATTGCAATTCATATATATTCTAAAGCCACTACAAAAGTGAAATTATCATCTGAAACAACTGATTCATTTGGTGTCATGATTGTAGATTAACTATAAATGTTTCAATATAAATATATTTTACAGATTTCGGATCGTTGTGTGTTCCAAGGGATTACCGATATGGAAGTATTGTATGTGTGTGTAATTTATCCTACTGTAAACTACTTGGTCCCATTGAAATAGCAAAAGCAGGAACCGCAAAATTGTACGAAAGTACTAAAGATGGATCGAGATTTAAAACCTCGAATTTTCAATTTTCCTCGAAACCTCCTAAAAGTTTGTAACAATAAATCAACATACGAGTGATTTTGAAATACATTAGAAAAAATATATTGATATAAAATAATTGTTTACATATTTTAATTACAGACGGAAGGCTTCGACTTGAAATTTCAATCGATAGAACAAAGAGATATCAAGAGATTTTGGGATTTGGTGGAGCTTTCACAGATGCAGTCGGCATTAATATTCTCAGTCTACCCGAACAATTACAAGATCAGATATTGCGTGGTTATTACTCCTCCGACGGTAATTATAACAATTTTAAATTCAATTTATTCAAACATTTAATTAAAGAAAACAAAAATATACAGGTTTGGATTATACTTTTGGAAGAGTACCCATAGCCAGTTGTGACTTTTCTACACACGTTTATTCTTATGACGATGTACCGGGAGATGCGAATCTCACTCATTTCAATTTAACCGAAGAAGATTCGAAATTGAAGGTAGTTTTTCGTAAACTTGTGGAAAATTTAAGCAAATTTCTTTAAAAATTTTTGTTTCATTTAGATTCCACTAATCCACCGAGCTCAAAAAATGCAATCTAAGTCGATAAAATTGTTTGCCAGTCCTTGGAGTGCCCCAGGATGGATGAAAAGTTCGAGGAAGATGGGTGGTCCTGGAATACTTAAAGAAGAATATTATCAAACTTGGGCAGAATATTTTGTCAAGTAAATTTTAAATATATTAATAGTAGATTGCATTTAACTCTGTTTATTTAGTAAAAGTATATGCATAATGCGAAAGTTATATGTTATGCCTGTAGAAGAGGAGAAAAACAAATTGGATGAACCACTTAAAAACGTTCATCTGAAAATTAGAACGAAA